CCATGTAGCTGGTCCCCCTCTGCAGCCCCTGGCAGAACACCTCTCCGGCTTCCTACGCCTGCAGGGCAAAGTCCAAACTCTGTAGGTCCTAGCAAGGACCTTCCTAATTACGTGCAGACCTATCTCTCCAACCTAATCTCCCAGTTCTCCACCCAACCACCCTGCACAGAAGTTATGGTGAGCAATTTCCAGTTCCCTGAGCACAACAGATTAGCCTTTGTGGACACTTACTCTATGCAAAGCTTGGTGCTAAGTGCTCTACACGCACTCCCTCATTAACCTTCACAACAACCCTATGTGGTGGGTAGGTACTCTTACTATGAGCAGTTTACAAGGGAGGAAAATGAAGCTCAGAGAACTCCTCTGGCTGACTCTGTCCACAGTACTTGCCTCCTCTCCTGCTCTTCCAGTGGGCCTGGAAGGCCCTGCCGCTCCTCCTTGACTGCTGCCCCATGTGTCCCCCATCCTACTCTTCTTCAAGACCCTAGTCAATTGTCCCTCCTCAATTATGTCACCCTTCACCCAGAGTTAACAATTCTGTCTTTGGTGCTCCCATGAGGAATGAGGAATTGGGTACATTCCTCATTAGAAACACTTATCACACTATATCATAATTATTTGTAAACATTCCAGTCTACCAGTTGGACTGTGAATCCATGAGAATAAGCTTTTTTTTTTTTTAACTCTTTCTTGTGTATGTCTGACATACAGCAGGCAGGCAATAAACAAATGATAAGGCACGTTTATAATGTGTTTCATTCACTCCTGTTCCTTCCTCACATATTCTATTTCCACCCCCACATTTCAGAGCCTTATTACCTCTCAGCTCTCTTTGGTAATAAATTTCTGATAGCTTTCCCTCTGGTCACCTTTCTTTCCAATTCTCTTCTTTACCAATGGTGGATTAACTTCTCTAAAACCCAGTTCTGAACCTGGCTCTTCTCTATTCAAAAATATCCATGACTCTGCATGCTTACCAAGTAATGTACAGATTCTTTACTCTGGAATTCAGGAGTGTCCATGGTCTGGACTTAATGACTTCATCTTAACTTGGATCATCCCCCCACACCAAACCAAATTATGTTACTTCCTGTTCTCTCAAATCACATAACACCTCTGTACATCTGACCACTGAAATACTCTGCTTTCCTCTCTATAACTACCTGTAGAAATCTCATCTTCTTCACAGCAGACTCAATCACCCTTATCCAGCCTTCCTTGACTGGATACATGAGTAAGAACTACAACTCTTCTGAAATCCCACAGCATGATGGTTTTACCTCTTTTGTGGGATTTAATCCTTTCTGCATAGCTCGATTATGATTTAGATACATGCTAACTCATCTATAACCTCTGTACATCACCGATTATTCCTTATAGAGCTACCCCTAACTGAGCGTCTTACACCTGGTAGGTGCTCAACAAAGTTGCTTTGGTGCATTACTGAATGAACATATAGATTTCGCAATCCTCCACAAGACTGTAACACTGTGGCACGTCAAAAACCAGTTTTGGGAAAACCAGCCTAAGTCTTAGGATGCCAGGTCAATCTAGGATGGAAAAATCATCTAAATGGACAGTGAACATCCCACAGTGACAGCCAGAGTTAAACACCAGGCTAAGTGTTCAATATTATTAACTAATAATTTCCTTGGTTCTTAGAAACGTCTAAGGCAGACAAAGCTATTCCACTGTCTTCCCTTGAGAAGACTGAGGCCAAGTGAACGTCAACAGTGTGCCCAGTGGTAGGTGTCTTTTAATCGTCAGAGCCAGGAACCCAACCAGACTAGAAACACTTACCCAAAGAATAAAGCTCACTGTAAAGGAGTTACAATGGATTCTCATCATTTAAAAGAGCCCCATCTAAGGCATATTTCGACACTATGCAGTCTACACTGCATGACTAAGGACAGGGTCCCTTTCCTAGTGACCTAATTCAGCCAAAGGAGTTATTGTGTGACTTGGTGGGAAAACAAGCAGTAACACTTTAAATCCCTGTACCTATACATTTATAAGGGAACAGATAGCACTGTCGACAAGCGTTAATGCTAAACTGCATTTTCAGTTATTCTTTTTGTGTTGGGTGAGGAAGATTGGCCCTGAGCTAACATCTGTGCCAATCTTCCTCTATTTTGTATGTGGGATGCCGCCTCAGCATGGTTTGATGAGCGCTATGTAGGTCTGCACACAGGATGATCTGAACCTGCGAACTCCGGGCTGTCAAAGTAGAGCGGGCGAACCTAACCCTACACCACCGGCCAGGCCCTAAACTGCATTTTAAACTCAGTAACAATTTTAGAGCCTCCACCATTCAACAGACGGTTGTTCTTACAACAAAGTTTACCACTAGGTGGCAGGAGTGTATCATTAATGAGGTGATTTTTCTACAGTGCTGTGTAAATCAAGGTAGCTTGGCATTTTCCCAACTCTTCGTCACTGTAATACACAATCTTGTTAAACTGTTGCAGTTTTTCAAAGATTATTTTGTCACTTTTAGAGTGGTATGTTACAAATAAACGATTCTAAATCTAAAAAAATTATTCTCAGTTATTGAAAATTGCATTATATTTATTTTAAATATCATAATATATACAGATTTCAACTTTTTTCTACATCAACCTTTTTATATTCAACAATAACCACAGCTTAAACTAGCTTTAAACATATAAGTAGAACCGTACTATCAACGAATCAAAAAATATACTGTACATTACAATATAGTAAAGACAAATTTAATTTTGTGTAATACTATATAATAGACAAAAACTGCTTTGGACCTATGAAAGTTGGAATTCTTGCATTTTGCAAGGTTTTTTTTTGTTTGTTTTTGTTTTTGTGAGGAAGATGGGCCCTGAGCTAACATCTGCCAATCCTCCTGTTTTTTTTTTTGCTGAGGAAGACTGGCCCTGGGCTAACATCTATGCCCATCTTCCTCCACTTTATATGGGATGCCGCCACAGCATGGCTTGACAAGCAGTGCGTTGGTGCGCGCCCAGGATCTGAACCGGCGAACCCCAGGCCACCGCAGTGGAACGCACACACTTAACTGCTTGCACCACTGGGCCAGCCCCTGCAAGGTTTTTTGTTTGTTTGTTTTGTTTCATTTTGTATTTCATTTCTGAATGTCAAAATAAAAGAGGTTTCAGGTTAATTTTACAAGCACTTCTCTGCAATTAACATTGAAGATTACCAATATATAAAATGCAAATTGGGCAAAACCATCATTATACTTTTCTTTTGACATATACTTTAAAAAAACAAGAGGAAGGTTGATGTATTATATCAGAATATTGAGGAAATGAATGCAACTTAAAAATGTGATGTCTTGGGGCTGGCCTGGTGGCATCGTGGTTAAGTTTGCACATTCCGCTTGGGCGGCCCAGGGTTTGCTGGCTTGGATCCTGGGCACAGACCTATGCGCCACTCATCAAGCCATGCTGAGGTGGCATCCCACACAGAGCATCTAGAAAGATGTACAACTATGACATACAACCATGTATTGGGGCTTTCGGGAGAAAAAAAGGAAAAAAGGGAGGAAGATTGGCAATGGATTTTAGCTCAGGGCCCCTCTTCCTCAAAAAAAAAAAAATACTTCCCTTTTAAAAAAAATGTGATGTCTTGAGGCAAATTTGTAGAATTATCAACATGGGTGCACTTTTAATAATTTGTGTCCTTCTGCTTTCTATCTTTCATGATCCCTTGTGGACAGAAATTAAATTATACATAACCAAGAATAGCAAACATACATGAAACCTACATAATGGTCAAAATTAACCTGGGAAGTAACTAAGAAACTAATTCTTGCATATGTTCACTTAATATGCACAGAGGAATAAAATATTTTAATCATTTTTTTCACTAATTTTATTAAAATAAAATCCCCACCTCTAACATAAAGAGCCCTCTAGACCTATGCAAATCTGTTTTCCTTGGTCGGTTCCCAAACCATCAGCGGGGCAGGTTGGGGTATTTGGTGGAAGCAATTAAGCTTCATTTCAACATCCAGGAAGGAGTGAAGCCTAGACTGGTTCAGGCCTTGGCCAATTAAACAAATGAGAGCCGGCAGAATTGGAACTTCTTCCCAAGGCTGGCAACTAGTCCTGTGTCCTTACAGCTGTTCCACAAGGCTTCTTTGGAAATACGCAAATGAGAAAACGGTCACCAATATAGAAGACCTCTGGAAAACAGACCGGCCTTGAGGTCTCCATACACACCTAGATCCACAAACAGTTCATTGCTCTGGCCGTTCAGGGATCCTAGAGGATGATTTACATCTCCTCAAGACAACCTGCAATAGGTTTCACTTTCTAAGTCTCTCTTACAGCAAAGGTCAAAAATGGACAGTCCAGAGGCTGTCCTGGCTTCTGAATTGACAAAAGTTGCTGTGTAAATAGCAAATATTCATCTGTAGGCATTAAGACAAAATCAAGGTCCTCTCCAGGGATCAGTGGGAAGGAACAGCCGCTGGGGGATTATTCTCTATGGTAAGCACCAATTTATACCTGTAAAATAGTCTAGGAATATATGCGAAGAATAATTTGAATATATACACATGGATGCGCTGCCTCATCTTTCAGCTCTGTAAGGCAGTGTTACTGAATGCATTTATGAAGTGAAAATTATACGCTAAAGTTGTGTGGATGCTTGACAGGATATGAAAAGAACATTGCTCTTGTAGCCTTAACAGTTATTGATTCAATTCATGAGATACTTATGTTCTACTCTAAAAATAAGTACAATAACTGTCATAAAAATTATTTTGAAGCATCATCGCTCAGGGGTTGACAGGTATCAAACTGCATGTTGCTAATTCATTCCTAGGAAATAAAACAGACTTAGAAATGTAATGGTCTCAACACAAAAAAATCTCATGTAAATGTACTCTGTTGGAAAGGATATGGAAACAGTTTAAAATACAAAGAGAAAGAACGTAATGGGTAACGCGAATGTTTCACACAGCACCAGGTCACTGACAGGAGGTCCCCGCTCTGCCCTTACCTCCTCCTCCTTTTCTTCTGGACCTGCGGTCCCAGCACGGCTCAGCTGAGGGAGGCTACCGGCACTGCGGTCCTCACTGCTTTTGTCACACGCGGCTGGCACCGAAACCTGGAAGAACAGAGGACCTTGCTCCTTCTGAGCAGGACCCTCTCCCCTTTCTTCACTGTCCACTGAACTCAGGGACAGCGCACTGCGATTGTTCGGACACTTGGCATTTCCTGCGCCTGGGCTCTGAGGGCTAGGGGGCTTGGGGGTGGTGGGCCGTAGAGGAGTGAGAGGCTGCTCGGGTACGAATGTCAACCGGCTGCCAAGCGGTGGTTCATCGGAGTCTTTGCTCCACCCTTCCTGGGCAATGGAGCTCGGCGAGGGGCTGCCAGCACCGGGGCCGACACTTTCCGACGTCCGGGAGCCTTGGGCTTCAGGAGGAAACACGGCATTCTCCACGTCCACGTGGGGACCCTGGGCAGGGGCGGCGCCCCGCCTGCGCTCGCGCTCGGCGCTGGAGGACTCGCGGCGGGAGTAGTCGTCGTGCAGCCTGCTGCGCGGCCGCAGGCGCGGGTCAGCCTCGCCGGCCCACGGCGCCTCGCCCCTGCGGCTCTCCCTGCTCCAGGCCGCGTCCGGGGCCGTGCCCACAAGGCGCAGGACTCGGTCCCAGTCCTTGGCCTTGATGGGACTCTTCCAGCGTTTCGTCCTTCTCTCTGACCCACCGCGCTTTTCGGAGTCAGCAGAGGAGCTGCTTAGCGTCCTTTGGGGTGCTTGCTTTTCAGGCGCCACCCTGAGGTCCACGAGATTAGAGGTGGACTTCCGTTTGAAGGAGCTTTTCTTCAGAAAGTTGAGGTTGTCCGTGCTCTTGCTTCTCCTATAGACGATGCTGTTATTCTCAGAGTCTTTCACTAGAATCTCACACATCGTGGGCTCCCGGGTGACTGGGGACAGGGGCCGGACGTGTGCCCCCTGCTGCTGCTCCGCGTCCAGGAGGCTGATGCGGCCCAGGCCGTAGGCGCGGCGGATGCTGCGGGACCGGTGGGTGCTCCTCTGGAAGGCGTCGTCGGCCTCCTCGGGGTCGGAGCAGTCCGACGCGGCCCCCGGCCCCGGCTTGTGGGCGGCGCTCGCCTGTCCCGAGGAAGGGCACCTGCTCGCTTGGATTCCGACTGCAGCACCGTTTGCGATGGCTTTTCCCAGGTCACGTTCTGAGGCATCTTCCTTTGCCGCCTCTGACCCCTCTCGGTTCTGAATTCCTTGAAGGACTGAAGACTTCAATTTTTTAAAAGATCCCATTTTCCGAAAGGAGGCAAGGGCGTTCCAAGTGGAGGAACTTCCCATCAGGACCATGGAGCGGGGCCTTTCGGGGTTGGCGCCCGTCCTCCTCCGACTCACGGAGAAGAGGCGCACGAGCTTGGCAGGGCTGAGTCTGGCCTCCTGGGCTTCCGCATCGCTGCTGCGGCTGCTGCTGCAGCCCCCATTCTGATACGCTGGGTAAGTCACCATTTTGGGGTCTTTAGGATCAGAGACCGAAGAGGGGACTGCAGCAACTCGCCCATGGCCGTTCTGGGCTGTTGTCATGTTCTCAGGGCTGGGAGCCCGATGCCACAGGGCAGGGGTGTTTAGACCCACGTGCGCATCTGTGTCCCCCGGCCCCACATGCAGCCCTTCACCTCCGAGGCCGCCACGGGCCTGGCTGTCACACGTGCTGTGCCCATCAGGCTCCTCGGTTGTCCCCAACGCCTGCAGCAGAAGACAAAGCAGGGATTTAGCCATTTGCCCCCACAGAAGAGCCTCTACAAGCAGGGGCTAGTTATTTTGTTTAAGAATTGCTAATAGAAAAAAAAAAGCATGCCCCATGACAGGGCTGATCAAATAAAAACTATTTTAAGTGAAGTTAAAAATTGACCTTTTTCTCTAATTCATTTCACAACAAATTAAAGGAGGGAATACAAATATACATTCCTTAAAAAAAAAAGATGATTATTGGTTGTGCATTCATAGTAAACTCTTGAGTCCACTGAAGCTTAAGTAAAACTTTTGAAAACCTGCTGGAATGAAAAAGCAAAGGCATCATTCAAGACTGTGTCTTCTCTTTATTTGAAACAAGAGAATTTTAATTACCAAATACAAAGGAAAAAAAAAAAAAAACCCACACCCAACCAACAACTATTTCAAAATGTATCACAATGAAATGTCAGCCTAAGCTAAATTTAGCACAGCTAATAGGCAAACTGAGTGCTTAGCATAAGCAAGAACTTGTACAAGGAGTTATGATGGAGACCAAGATGCTCTGGGCTGCTTATTGTCTACAAAATACCCCAAAACTCTAATGAGACAGCTGCAAAGTGCTACAGAGACACGGCATGAGGTCGGACTTTGTGAATGAAACGACATTACTGAGGGGCGTCTGTCAACAGGATTCTAACGGCCAGGGAATGGGGAGAGACGAGGATGATACTGGAGTACTAGAAATTCAGACACGAAAATTAAAATTAAACAAATACCACACCTTCCTCCTTCCTCCCACATGCCCTGAAGCCCACCACACACCTGTGTCCATGCTCTTTCTCCCAAGTGAAAATGTTGCTCTCCTTAACCTTTCCCAAGGGCCAGCTTAAATGTCACAGCCCCCCTGTTCTCAATACATGATTAGTGAATGAAGGAAGGGAGGAAGGATTGTGGTGATAACCATAAAAGGCTACCATTTATTAAGTGCTTACTACATGTCAGGCCCCCGTTCTAAGTCCTATAAAAACACATGCCACTGAGTACTCATACAAAACTACAAGGTCAATAGAATGACTTCATTTTATAGATAATTAAATGGGCACTTGGACAGGGTAGGTAACTTGTCTGGGGGTCTGCCCCCTCTGAAGCCTATGCTCTTCTCCACTGCTTCACACTAACGAACGAGGAGAGAGGCAGAGCTGGCACAGGAACCCAGGCCTCTGACTCCAAGTTCATGACACAACCTGACTGAGGTAAAATCCCAGAAATCCTCCCGAGGCCAGTCAAGGCCATTACCTCCAAAAGCAATATTAAAGGCAGAAGAGGAGGAGAAGGAGAGAGTTATATCAAGACCTTGAGGTTAGGTCCCAATTTAGCTCAGCCCTCTCAAGCGCAGAAGAAAATGTGACCTCATGCAAAGAGGTCTCATCTGATTCTACTCTCCAAATTCTCTGATGGTTCATTTTTATTTTCCCTTACATCATCACTAAGTAGGGATTCCCATGGAGAGTCAGAGTTAAAGGATTGATTCCATCTGGGACCAGGGAGGCTACATAGAGTTAGACACCCTGGGGCCTTTCTGACGTCCAATCACCCAATTCCATTAATCAGAAGATTAATGAGGCTACCACATGCCCTCTGTATTTTAATGTTCTAATAGAGAAATTAGGGGAACTGAGAGCTGTGGGTTGCATGTCAATGAGCCACATAAGCAGAATCTTGAATTGTCCCAGCCCTGAAGCTGGATGTGAAATCTATAACCAGTTGCAAAATGAGTCCAATATTCAGTATCACCTGTCCACCCTCAACTACTCTGAGAGGGACAGGGGATAGTGATTGTTTCAGCTTCTCACATTTTTGAAACGAAGCAGATAGTTTATCAAACAGTCAAGTCTAGTCATAGGCACCAACTGACTGCATATTATGTAATAATAATCCTCTTGTTGTGACCTGCACTGGATACAAAAGAGCAGGCGTGATCTGGACAAAGACAGCTTACCGACACCACAACTAGAGGGCACTATAAGACCTTTTATAACCAAGGATGGAGCAGTCAAGCTGATCCTAAGGGCTCAAGGAGTACAGGGAAGTGCTTGATTTAATGTTGAGTAGTTTGAGAATGTTCTATGGAAGACATGGGGCCAGGCCTAGGTTCTAAACTTAGTACTGTCACATTAATCTTGAGTAAAGTCATTTCAGTAATCTGTGCTTTAGTGCCATCTATAAAATAAGAGGTGCTGACATTTATGAATATATCAACCAACCAATCAGTTCATGAGCCTCTGCAGGGGACAAGGGTCTGTGTAGGCCCCATGATGAATTCAAGGTAGTGACAAGGTCATGGCCCATTCTAGATGGGAAACTGGCATGAGCAAAGGAAGAGTCAGGCACATAAGTATGATTGCAAGGCAGTAAATTAGGGTGACCACCTGCCCCAGTTGGCCCAGGGGTGAGGTGTTTTCCAGGATGTGGACTCTTAAGGCTGGAACTGGAGAAGGTCTTGGCAAACTGGGAAGACTGGTCACCCTACACTAGGTAGAACAATATAGTTGGAAGGATGGCTCAGTGTAATGTAGTAGTAGAAATTAAGGTGAAAACAGGTTTAGAAAAGCCTACCTCCCCCTTAGTCTCACACTTTGAGGCCATCTGCAGGTATTACCTTTGGGAATTCCTTCCTGATCCCCTAAAATGAATTGAACCCCTTACGTGAGTTACAGGCATTTCACCAAATTGCTTTACCAATATTATAATGATAGGTTTATATGGCTGCCTTCAGAACAAGACTGAATTATTTGTGAGTATGAACTGTGTGCTTCACACACACAGATTTTTTAAGTTTATCTTGAGGTGAAATTGTACCAGTTATCTGCCTTGTCAATATCTGTACCAAGGTAACAATTCATCTTTATATACTACCATTATTTTTCCAATGTGCAGATGTTTAAATTTTTACAACACTAAAAAGTCTAAGTATTTACTTAAAACTTTTCTAAGTTTTAGGATAGAGATCCAGTAAAATATATGCAGAAAATCTGAGTTTCTAATTGGGGCAACATGCTTTTAAAAGACCACTGACTTTCTATTTCCTTCACACAGCTGAACAACGTGATTGTTGTGTGCTGCTTGGAATGAAACTGAAAATCACGGAAAAAAGCTTTTCCTGGAATTTCCGAGAAACATACCAAGTTGCATTATTTAGAACTAATACTTTGACCTCTATTAACTAACAAGGGTTGCAATTCAATCAGTGGTTTTGTAGCAAGTCTTGTAATTGTGGGAGCTCTGCCAGGGATATTTATGAACAGAACTACAAGAAAGAATTTTAGAGGGAATATTGTGCAATCCATTGTCTACAAGCTGGATTCTGTGGTGTATGAACTTTAGAATAGAACACTCCTTTTTAGTCATAATGAGAACTCTCTGAAAACTATGACCAGTAATTTTTAGATAAGAACTTATACTTGATTTTGAAATTCAGGAATATATACCAGGTTAAATGTACAAACAAGAAGGTTTTTGTAATACATTCGCGTAAATTATAGAAGATGTGACACTGGAAGAAAACATATTGAAATCTAAAATGTTAAAGGAGTGAAAGTATAGATCATTGAATCACAGCACTGTAGAATATTGCCTTAGGGAGCATCTTACCCCTAACTGTAAAGATTAGGACACGGGGGACGGGTGGGTCTGAGAGACTTACCCATCCTTGAGCACTGCCACCTACTGGCTAGAACCTGGGGGTCATCCTAGACCTCTTCCTTTCCTTCCAGGTCTCACCGGTCACCAAGTCTAAGAGATTCTGCATATCTCGACAACCCTTGCTCAGTGTAGCTGCCACGGCCTTTTTTCCAGCTATATAGTACCTTCCACCAGGACGACTGCATTAGCTTCCTGACAAGTCTCCTCTCTTCTGGTCTGACTCACCTCCAACCTAGCCACATGTCCTTCCCAAAGTGCAAATGGAGTCGTGTCACTTCATATAGTGTCACTGGCTGCGTTTGGACCTCGAGAAGATGTTGAATCTCAGCCGAGCACACAGCACCTTTCGCTCCAGCCAATACTGAACTACTTATAGTGCCCCTTTCTCACACAGCTGTGCTTTTGGGTACTCCCTTGCTTGCTCTCAGAGTCGTCCTCTGGCCGTTTTTGTCTCTTTGTATTGCAGGGAACCACAATTCCCAGCATCCTGTGACAAATGGCTTCTGGCCAGTGGGAAATGATGCATGTAGGGGGACAGGGTGTTCCTCTCTGTTGGGGCTCCTGTGGCACTTCCAGAAGCTGCTGGGTCTCCTCTTTGGCTCCAGCTCCTGCTGGGCAGCTCCCCACTCCTGGGTCCCAGCTCCTGGCTGGTGGCACCAGCGCCTGGCTCAAGCAGTACTACCCCTTCCCTTACCCCTCTAGCCTAGGAGGGTAGCATCCTCCTGCTATGGTTCATCTGAGTTCTTCACCGTCTTCTCTTTTGTTTCTCAACTGTGTAAAAATAATCCCTATATTAGATTCTCTTTGTCTGAAATACCTGGAGATGCTTCTCTTTTTCTGACTGATAAATATGTGCTTTGCCTAATTAAATTTCATTAATTCAAATCAACTGTTCCCTAGAGGAATGCTCCTTTGTATCCAATTCAGATGCCCTTTCTCTGTGGGCTCTGTTTTAGCACTTACCACACCACTCTCTAATTCTGGGCTCTCTGTCTGCTTTCTCCACTAAACTCTGAAAAGGTTGAAAGTTCTCTGAAGGCAGAAACCAGGTCTTATTATTATTATTTTTTTTTGCGAGGAAGATTAGCCCTGAGCTAACATCCGTTGCCAATCCTCCTCTTTTTGCTGAGGAAGATTGGCCCTGGGCTAACATCCGTGCCCGTCTTCCTCCACTTTATATGGGACGCCGCCACAGCATGGCTTGATAAGCGGTGTGTAGGTCCACGCCCGGGATCTGAACCCATGAACCCTAGGCCACCGAAGTGAAGCACGTGAACCTAACCACTACGCCACTGGGCTGGCGGCAGAAA